CTGAGTTACACCCCAGCCCTTCAACAGTGGTCCTACATGGACCTGCAGACGTATGTTCCGTAAGTGCGCATGCTTTGAGTCACGTCATGGGCTGCTCTGTGCCCGGAGCACAGACTCACTGCCCTTCATGTGCTCTCCAGGACTGTGTGTGAGGAGCCAAGGCAGATCACCGATGGTGACAGGCTCTCAGAAGGGCTGTCATGGCCTGTGTCACCCTGTCTTCTGACTTGTCATGGCTGTAATGTTCATTCAAGCCTCCTTGCTCCTCCAGAAAATACAGTTTGGCACAATAAAGGGAAGTTTGGGATATTTTTGACATCTGTATTGTTTTGGTGAATAGACTCTGACACTTGTCCCACTATTTAAGTTCCAGGAATTAGCTCCAAAAAGGAGGAGTCCCTTTTCCTTAGGAGCCCTTTCATGTACTGAGCATCTTTGAGGAAATTAGTGACTGCTTACTGAAAATTACTGATTCAAAGCAAGCAACTGAAGAAAAAGGATGATCAGATATACATATACACAGACACATTATATGAATATATACATATATATTATATACACACACGTACGTGTGTGTGTGTGTGTGTGTGTGTGTGTGTGTGTGTGTGTGTGTGTGTGTGTGTGTGCATATTCCACAGCACCTGAGTGGATGTCAGAGGACAACCCTCGGGATTTCATTCTCTTCTTCCACCAGGTGAGCTCAGGTGTCAGCCTTGGCAGCAAGCACATTTGCCTGCTGAGCCACCTCACAAGTCCCAGATTCTTCGGAAATTAGAGCCTTGAATATTGTTGTTCATGGCCTCCTCACTTTTCTACTCACAAGCCACAGGACACAATACAATTGGTAACTTTTAACTTTAATATATATGGCTATGGAATACACGCACACATATTTTGTCGTTAAAAATGATGGGCTGGTAAGTTAGAGCCTGCAGCCTAGATTTTTATTACACTAAGATTATTTTTATTACATTTATTTATTTATTTGAGACAGGGTCTTACTTGTAGTTTTTGCTGGTCTGGAACTTGTGACATAGTTCAGGCTGGCCTCAATCTCACCTGTCTCTGCTTCTCAATTTCTGGGATTAAAGGCATGTACCACTATTCATCACACTTAGTTCACACGAACACACACACACACACACATACAGACACACACAGAGAAAGAAAGTGCAATGTGCATGCTTGTGAGGTATACTTGTGGAGATCACGATCCATGCACAGCTTGCGGGTGCCATTTCTTGACTTCAAGCGTTCCCAGGGATTGAACTCAGATTGTCAAGTTTGGCAATAGGCACCTTTACCTGCCAAGACTTCTCGCTGGTGCTGGTTTTTCCATTATTAAACTGTTGTTAAGAATAAAATATGTGGCAGAGACCGCATAGCCCCCAGAGGCCACGACATTGACTATCTGAGACTTCACAGAAAACATGTGCTGGTCCCTGAGCCATATGGAAAATATCAATAACAGAACTCACTCGTTTTGCACTTTTATTGAGAAATGAATTGTGTCCTTCCCTTCCAAGTCAGGTCTTCTGATGGTAGACTCCATGTTCATAGTCACCGCAATGAGACACGGTGCAATCTCCCATGTCAAACCTGGGATGTAATCAGCCACCGCCGGCTCGGTGATGCCAGCTACTCCCCAGCTGTGGGGCAGCCCCCTCTGCTCTTCTTTGTGCTTTTGCTGTCACCTGGACCATTTCTAGGCACCAGCTTCCAATTTGCAAATCCCTTTCTTGACCCTGATATTTTGGTCAAATGACTGCAGCGCTCTAATTGTTCTCATGAGCCTGTTCTGTCTCCCTCCCCTCCTTTCTCACCTCCTTTGGTCCTCTGGGGGCCTCTCCGGTGACCCTTTGGGGTCACGCGCCTTCCAAATCTAATATTTCTGTGCCTGATGTTTTGCTGTCCTTGTGTCATTTTAATCGCCTCAGTGGCTTTGGAATCAGCAAGCAGACTATGTATGGCACGAGGAGGCCTCCCTCAGGTGGCTCTCCTGTCAGGCCGGCTGAATCATTTCTGCAAGCGCCTGATTGCCTGCTCTGGATGCCGCTTGAAGACACCCTTCCTTGCATTCACCGGCATCCATATTGCACGGTAGGATTTTCCCCCATGGATCCTCACGACCGTCACTTCCCATGTCTGCCCTTCTCACCAGATCACGTCAGTGGTCCAAGGAGGACCCCAGCAGCCAGTGTACACCTTTGTTACCAGAGCCAGGCTGATCTCAACCTTCCGGTTTTTAATTTTCTTTACTCCAGCCAAGCTGGCTGAATCTCTCCTGTTGCTGCCCACATACCGTTGTGTTTTGACATCCTCACGTGCCGTGGCAGATGTGTGTGTGTGTGTGATGCTGGACTGGAACCCTCAGGGCCTCTCACATACTAGGTCAGTGCTACAACCCTAGCCCCTGTCTTGGGTATGTTTTCATAGGGAAAAGCCGATTTGTGTATGCAGAGCAAGGCATTCTAGAGGAAGCGAGAAAGGCTCTAACACCATACACCACAAGGGTAAAGATGGACTATGTAGAAGTAAACTCTTTTACAAGAAAACCTCTTCAACTACCTACTGGGAATAATGGTAAGTATAGTGAATTGGCCAACTAAAGAACGTATAGTTCTGTTAACCTTCATTTAAATAGAAGTTAAAGAACAAATCTTGATAAACTTTCCTAGGTGGATTGCTCACCTCTTTGTGTCACTTGCTGGTACGCTGTCTTGCCTCCAACAACATCTGTAAACATTCTGTTTCTATATATAAATGCTGTTTTTCCTTACACAGCGTAAGTCAGTGTCCTTCTCTGTAAACATCTCCACTCCTCCTTAGAAACCACATGGTACCCCATCCTGCACCCGCCTATGCGTAGCATCGTGGGTTATAACTGGTGGTGATCAGTCAGCTCCCCTCAGCTGGTAGATGTATTTCAGAGGGCAGTCTGAGAGCCTGTCACTCATCTGTGAGAAATGACTTGAAATAACCTGTGCCGGAACAGTTTTCTCCTTCATTTCCTTCCTTCTCCATTCAAAGTCCTTGTCGATCTTCTTTCTGGATTCTATTCTCCCAAACCCGTTTCCAGGATGCATATTATACCAAATATAAGTTGGGACAACATAGCCAGCATGCCCTTGTCTTGAACAAGACCTTTGCAGGAATACTGACCTTAGGGAGCAGAGAGACCTACAAGCTGGTGCCGGCTAATCTATACCACCTCCGAGCTTCCTCATTGACCATGTATTATCCAAGAGATTTCCCTGCGTCTTAACTAGCACGTTAGGACAATGTGAATGAGAAGGAAAATTGTTGCTACCTGCTTATGGAGTGTGTGTGTGTGTGTGTGTGTGTGTGTGTGTGTGTGTGTGTGTGTGTGTTAAACTGCAAATTGATGTGCCTAATAATACTCCTGCTCAAATTTGGAAAGGAAAGGTTAAAATTAATATCCGACACCCCCAACAGCTCTGCAGTCTGAGGTCTGTGTCCATTCTTGTCTCTCTTCAGAAGTCCTCATGGTGAAGTTGGGATGGAGAAGGTGACAAACAGTTTTGACAGGGTGATGGTGACATGAGCTTAGCTTCTTTCCTTTTAACCACAGACTTCTTGAAACCCCTAGACTCCCTCCAAGTAGATATTCTTACCTCTATTTTAAATACAGACAATGGAGTAAGACGCCATGGTTATTACTCAAACCATCCTCGGGAGACTGAATAAATTATTGCTGGTATCACTGGTGTCTGGTGGTAGAAATGTGTCTCAAATTCTAATTTGGAACCACCAGAATTAGTAGTGGCTGCTAACCCACCCAAGCCAGGGAATTGACAGAAGTAAGGGAAAATATCCCTTTTCTCTGCACAGGATAGGACTGGATCTCAAAAATAGAACCGTGTTCTCAGAAATGCCTGCCCACCCCCAAGGTTGGTTGACAAACGATAGATTTCCCAAGATAGCTGCCTCGATTGGTTTTTACTCTGTGTATTCCTTCGATTCCAGAACGCGGCCTGTCACACTGTCTGAACTTAGCTTTCCTCAAAGCCCCACAGGCACAAGCAGGGAGGACCCACGACCCTGCAAGGGGATCCCAGTGGCTCTGTGCCCACACGCCAGCCTGCGAATGCACCACAGAGCTTCCCACTGTCATCCCACTCGCTATGAGGAGCACAGCTATTTTTACCTCCCCGGCTGCAGCCCTTTATATTTATTTGGAGGAAGGAAATAAATAAAGATTTTTAGAAGGAAAATGCGTGGTCTCAGTTTTCCCTGCGCTGGTGAGGGTTGGTATAGGAGTGGGTGCTGAGGATGGGTAGCTTTCCTTGCCAAGTTGTTGCCAGATCAGGCCTGCCCTAGGCCTGGGAACCCCTGCACTTTTCTCTGCGGGCTCATCCTTGACAGCAGGCTTCTTTCTCCCCTACCCCCATCTTTGGAGGTGCCACCATCTCTTTTGATGCTGCTTTCGGGATGCTGCATCACTCTGCACCCTCCTCTCCCCACACCTCCCCGGGGCTCCCACAGTAGAGCATGCGCAGTGCGGCCCATGCGGGCCACAGCATCAGCATCTGCAAGAGCATCAGCATCCGCACCCGAAACCCTGCCCGGGCGCGCTCCCGGAGGGTGGGGTGCAGTACCGCGCCGCGCGTCCCCGCGTCTCGCGCCCGCGCGCCGCGCGCGCCCGCGCCCCCGCTCGCTCCCGCGCGCCTCCTCAGCATCCTCAGGCCCGGCAGCAACCCCCGCAGTCACTGGAGCGGCCGCGCCCGCCACTGGGAGGGTGCAGCCGCCGGGGAGGCTCCAAGTTGGCCGAGCAGAAGGGACCCCCCTCTGCGGGCCGCTCCCCGAAAGGCGGAAAGAGGCCGAGGAGGGCGCGCCGCCGTCCCCGAGCCCCCCAGTCCCTGACCCCTGCCCGCGGCCGCAGCATGCGCGCCCAGCCGGCGTGACCGGCTCCGCCCGCAGCCGCCCCGCAGCCCAGCCCGGCGCTCTCGCGGGTCACTCGGACCGGCGCCCGGGAGCGATGAGCCATGAAGCCGCCCGGCAGCAGCTCCCGGCGGCTGCCCCTGGCGGGCTGCAGCCTGACCGGCGCCTCCCGCGGCCCCTGTAGCTGCCCCGCCGGCCCGGTGCTGGCCCGCGCGCCGCCCTGCCGCCTGCTCCTCGTCCTTCTCCTGCTGCCTGCGCTCGCCGCCTCGTCCCGGCCCCGAGCCCGGGGGGCCGCTGCGCCCAGCGGTGGGTATGGCCGGTGCCCTTTGCGTTGCCTTCCCCGCGGGGCCCTGGGGAGGAGAGAGAAGGGCACGCAGGTGCGTGTACCCTGGACGTGTGGGTCCCCAGCCTGGCCTTTGAGCGCCTCCCGGTCGACCTCTCCACCCTTCTCAGTCCCAAGCCCAGGTTCATGCTAGTTCACTTTTGGAAGTCCGTTTCTGTTGCATTCACGAAAGACCCATTCCAGTGACTGTGGGTTCCACCCAGAGGTATTTCGTGGCTCCTGAGTCCTTTAGCGCTCTCTATGTAACTTCCAGGGGCAGGGAGGTGCAGTGAGCGAGCAAGTTGCTTCTTGCTTTGGGGAACCTTCATTTGAATGCGGGGAGCATGCAGTAAGAGTGGCAAGTGCTTGTTTCCTCAAATTCCCCACCAGGTTTAGTCCCTGTTGTTGGAATTAAGGTGAGGGAGGCATACTTTGGGGACCAGAGAGTGAAAGTCTCCAAGACACACTTTGCGCATGACCTTTGGCTGTGTTTTCCCAAAATGCTTGTCATAATGAGCAATCAGAATAATACAGTGTTGAGCACACTGGTGATTGGAAGTCACTGAAAGCAGAAAGCTGGCCTTGGCAGTAGAAGAAAAAGAATTTGGAAAGCCGCCAGCATCTATAGCCCTTTATGGCAAAACAGTTTTTGCCCCTCATCTCAAAGTTAAAAAGAACAGGGAATCATATATATATATATATATGGTTATATATATATATATATATATATATATATATATATATATATGGTTTTATATATATATATTTGAAAGAATCACTTTACATTCAGTGCCCGTGAATTCAGGCCCCAAGTTATTTCAGGAGTGTTCTTAGGTCCCAGATGGGATGCTACTAAGCTTGGTAATAGTTGAGCCGCTCTGTCAGGACCCTTGAGCATGCCCAGTTGCTGACTCTTCGCTAAGCCTGTTCTGTCCCTGCCCCCTCATAGTCTGGACGTTCAGATCTAAGACTAGATAGGAAAAGGTATACATGACTATAGTACATGATTGTATAAGCTTCCCTGACTGCTAACCTATCCAGGCCATCCCGCTGTTCCCATCACTTGTTTTTCCTGTGTCTCCCCTTCCTACCCCCTTATACACGGGACACTTTGTTAACGGAATTCATGGAAAGATGCACTTCAGAATTTCCACGTTTCCTGGATGTATATGTGTATGTTTGTGTATGTTTGTGCTTCCTGCTCCCCCCAGCTCCGCACTGGAATGAAACTGCAGAAAAAGCCCTGGGAATCCTGGCCGAGGAAGCCAAGACATCGCAACAGAATAGCAGCAGTAATATCAGCGACAGCAGTGCCGTGCAGAAGGAAATCACACTGCCTTCAAGACTGGTGTATTACATCAATCAGGACTCAGAAAGCCCCTATCATGTTCTTGACACAAAGGCCAGACACCAAGAGAAACACAACAAGGTAGGCAGGAGGAGACTGAGTGTGCCCAAGTAGCTGCCATTAAGAGTTCTCCTTCGATTTGACGTTCTGCCAGAATCTGATTTCACAAATCTTAGTGTAGCATTTTATTAAGAAAGCAATTAATATGATGATAGAAGAGAAACTAGAGGAAATGAACTCGGGATCGACCAGGACAGGGTTTACTGTTGGTTTCTTTGACTCAACGGAAACAGCAATTTCAGATGTCCTGTGAGAAACTCGGTCCCCGGTGTCTCTCAGGTGCCGTTGGCACTAAACAACAGAGTGAACTTCTTTCTGGGAGCCTTTATGTAAGGATGCAGGAACCTACCTTCCAGGAGATAAAAGCTCCTGGCAGTCTGTACCCAGAAGGCCTTGCTGACAGGCAGTGTGACTTTCTGTGTAGAGCTTGCATTTGAGTTTACTTTATTTCTTTAATTGGGCATTGGGCGGGGTAGGGCCACTGCTATGGTATGTTCAGTCAGCAAACAATTCGGCTTTTCAATAGATGATGGAGAACAGGAAAGAATGACTTGCATAAGATAGACACCCGTTTGGGTTGACGCCATCCTTGAGGACACTGCATCAGCGGTGAACATTTGCTTTACTTTCAGGTTAGTTTAGAAAGTGGCATGGAGCTTGAAAAAGACTCAAATGAAGACAGAAATGTATGATGTCCCAAGAGTTTAAGGGATCCCTTCTCCTGCATCTCATTGCTTGAAGTAATGATATTTGGGATCCGAAGTAGGTCTCCATAGTGAAATAGCGGGAACCTCTGTTCTTTTTTAGGTGCAGAAAACAGATCCCTTAGGTTAAGTATTTCCTTCTGAATTGTTCCTGTTCACTTGGCAAGAGCAGGAGATAGTCAAGCATGTAGAATTTAAGCAAGGTGTCTGTGGTTTGCAATCAATGTGCATAGCTTTCTGAAGCAGAGGTAAGTACGATGTCTTTCCCCATTTCATAAATGGGTGGATAGGGATACAAGGTCTTCGGTGACTCTTCTAAAGGTTGTAAAGCAGCTATTAGGTTTGAACTGTTAATTGTTACTATTTTTAGGACAAGTGAGGTCCCTGAAACAAAGCTTTCTTCATACTGAATAACCTTGTTAACCCTGTTTGTGTGATTTTGAAGGGGCTGTTGGCCACCATGGCTGCGATGATGAACTTCTCCTCTGCCAAGCCTTCCCCTCAGAAGGTTTTCTGAAATTTAGTGGATCAACTAACACTTCATGTCTTATGGATAGAAGGAGTGGATATTGTCTTTAGGAAGAGACATCCAAGGCCCCCTTGATAGCAAGCATTGAGGACTGAATAGCGTCCATTATGAATGATCCCTGTGCCAAGTGGGGGATGGTCTGTGCTCTGTGGTGACAGTTCTTAAACTCAAGGGCCTTTGTACAGGGTGCTGGAGGAAGGCCAAAGCTGCCTCAAAGCCTGCTTTAGAGAATGTCTAAGCCCTCCTCAGCTGAGATCTGAAAGAAATTTCAGTGGAATTTCTTTTTAACTCAGGTGTTGGACTCTGTGACTAATGCTTGTCCTATGGTCTAGCCTTAGATGACTGTTCTGTTTGTGGGTGTGATTTCACATCCCATGTCTGACTTTCTGGTGGTAATATCTGTTGACCTTTTACCTGTCACTTATGCAGAGGGACAGAATGCTCCTGTGGCGCACTGGCTTGATGTCAGAGGTACTAAGCTTCTTGACACCCTCCCCCCCCCCCCCCCACAGCCGGACTTCTCTTCTACTTTTGAAAAGAATGTGTAGGCAGGGATGATATTTGAAAGCCTTTTTTTTTCTTATTAGTTTAATTCAGTAAATATCTGTTGCACATTTCTCATATGCAAAGCTGTATGGTAAGGGTTCACAGATAAGAGATAAGGTTTGCAAATATGAAAAATATTTGTTCTTTAGAAGACACAGACATGACATAAGCAAGATTCTGAGATGTGCCTGGGTCAGATTTTAATAGTGCCGATCTGATTTGGTGGCGCCCTGAAATTTCCTTTTGTGGTCTATGGTTTCCTCTTCCTTTGCGTCTTTAAGCCTTTTTTTGGGCTGGTTGATAAGAAGTATTGTTAGGGTCCGAGAATCCAGGAATAATCCATCACAAAAGCCTGGGTTCGAGCAAGCCAGAAATTTATTTAGAAAAAAAAACTGGTATCAGGGAGGCGGCAGGGTTCGGGCTCCAAACCGGGTCCGAGGCAGGAGCAGCAGCCAGTCGGGTACCCACTGAGGCAGCAGGCAGTTTTAAAGGGGGAAACCGCAAAGAGACAGCCCTAGAGTCCCATCCGATCATAATGTAATATGGGGAGAAGCAGTTGGGGACTTTCCTCGGTGACTTTCCTCGGTGACACACTTTCAGCCCGTCTGGAGTTCTGTGGTTTGGTGGTTCGGATCAGCTCTGGGCCAACCAACCAGAAGGGGGTGGAACGCTTGTGGCTTACACCTGTGTGATGGGTTAGGGGGGGCTGCATCCTAGCCTCAGGAAATTGTGGGTAGCAGCTCAGGGCAGAATGACAGACCGGGACAAAATGGAGTTTCTGCTGCTAAGTAGGGTCGAACAGTATTGCATGCTTTCCACTGGATCTTATGATGACTTGTTAAATATCAATGATAAGAGAGACACACTTGTCAGCTTACCTGCTTTCCAAAAGTTACAATGAGAAAGCATAGAACTCCATCCTTACTGCTTTTTAAAAAAATAATTTTTTGATATTAGTATCTGTAAACTTGGACCTTTCCTCCACTCTGGTTCTGTTGCATTGAAGCACATTTTAGTGAGTGCTTAGAAATGCTGAGTCACTGTGCCTCTCTCCTGAATCCCTGTGATGGGGGGTAGAATTGGGATGGGACTTTCCCGAATCTAGGTTGCAAGGCCAAGCTCCACATTTATGTCTGAGGAAGTTTCATAATCTTGCATGTGGATGTGTCCTTCATAATTTAACAGCTGTGTAAGTTAAAATGCTTATTAACTCTTTCACAATTGGGGAGTTTGAATGCTGGTTGTGTAGTCCACCTCTGTATATGGTATTGGTTTTGAAAACTTTAGCTTTCTTATTTTGGCAAGGAATGCTTAGGAATTGTGCAGGTTAGTTTTGTTTTTTTTTTTTTGTTTTTTTTTTTTTGGTCTATCAATTTGACATAAACTAAGAGCATTTGGAAAGAGGAAATCTTAGTTGAGAAAATGCCTCCATCAGATTGCCTGTCAGCAACTATGGTGGATATTCTCTTGATTAATAATTAGTGTGGGAGGTCCCAGCTTACAGTGAACAGTGTTGCCCCTGAGCAGATGGTCCTGGATTGTATAAGAAAGCAGGCTGAGTAAGCCAGTAAGTAATGTTCCTCCATGGTCTCTACTTCAGTTCCTGCCTCCAGGTTCCTGCCTTGAGTGCCTGCGATGACTTCTCTCAGTGGTGGTCAGTGATCTGGAATGTGTATGCCAAATAAACCCTTTCCTCCCCAAGTTGCTTTGTTCGTGGCGTTTTATCACAGCAAGAGAAAGCCAAGTAGAACAGGAATCATTTCAATTTCTACATAGTTGAAATGTTATAGAAACCTTTGTCCAAATGGCTCCATTTTTGAGAAAAGCGAGCACACTTATAACTGTGCCAGGATACGAGGCATAAACTAAGGCAGTCCACAGCAAGGAGTGAATAGGCCCCTCAGACCTAAACAGTTAAGTTGGTTTTTGACCTTTGGTGCTTTCCTAAATTAAGATTTCTTTATAGACAGTCTTGTCTGATAATTTATCATAACAATCTCTTTACTACTTAAGAAGTCAGTTTAGTAGGATATAGCAGTATGAGGGCCTGCTAATGGAAAATTGTAATTTTGTGTGATACTGGAAAATACACACCTGGTGTCCATCCCATTTTCTGTCACATAGGTCCAGACCTCTTGAAGTCAGCAAGTAATGGAGGCTCTTTCGTGGATTAACGCTGCAATGATTGGAGGCCAGGGCCCTCTAGGAAGTTTGAGGGTGGGGTCTAGTCACTAGAAAGATGAAGGTGAAAGCCAGGGCAGCAGTGTCGCACTCCTTTAATCCCAGCACTCGGGAGGCAGAGCCAGGCGGATCTCTGTGAGTTCGAGGCCAGCCTGGTCTATAGATCAAGATCCAGGACAGGCACCACAACTATACAGAGAAACCTTGTCCCAAAAAAAGAAAAAGAAAAAAAGATGAAAGCTTGATTGAAGGGTTGGGCTTCTTCACCCATCAGGAAAGGGGCTTAACATTTAGTTAAGTCTGGTGACATGATCATCCATACTTATGAAATAAAGCTTCTCTAGAGATCCAAAGGAGCAGATTCTGGAAGCTTTCAGATAGATAACTGAACATGTGGAGGTTCCTAGAGGGGCGGTACCTGGACAGGGCCTGGAAGTTCAACATGTTTCTCCCACACCTTGTCTTCTGCATCCCTTCCACCTGGCTGCATGTCTGCTGTCTCTTCTAGAATGTCCTTCATAGCAACTAGTAAATGTTTCCCCTGAGTTCAGTGAGCTGCTCTGAGCAAGTTAATCGGCTCTGAGCAGGCAGTGAGGAGACAACTGATTCATAGCCTGCTCCCATGGGCACAGGCTTTAGCTGGGGACTTGTGACTGACGTCTGGAGTCTTGTGGGACTCAGCCTTCAACCTGTGAGATCTGACACTATCTCCAGACGGAGAGTGTCAGAACCAAATTGAATTAGAGGACACCTGGCTTGTTCGTCGTCGTGAAGAATCTGCGAATTGCTTGGTGTGTGGGGAAGAAGCCCCAGACACTCAAGTCAACAGCGTGGTGTGAGAGGAAGATGGAGAATGAGCTTTACATTTTCTTGTGTCTCTTTGTTATCAAGACTTGCCAGACTTTATGAGTCTGGATGGAATTATATGATCATCACACATAACAATGCGTTATCCATGCAGTATGTTAATAAAATGGGCGATAGGTTTGGACAGCAGGAGAAATGATTTAGACTCATTCATTCTTTACTCAGTCACTCCTTTTTGAGATGATTCTGTGAAG